CTTGCTGTGGGCAGGTGGCTGTGGTGTCCGAGAGCAGCCCCCAGCATGTCCCTACCCTCATGGCACGCCGCCAAGGGCTCCCCCAGTGGCCAGGGTTTCCTGGGCAGCTCTTACCACAGCCCGGCTTCCAGCCAGGATAGGGGGCAGGATCTTGGAGGGCCCAAATGTTCTTTGTACCCAGAGCCCCAGTAAATCTTAATCTGCCTCTGTTTACAAATTAACAATCTATTTACAAACTAACAATGTGTTAGCTCCAGCCCTAGTAGGATCTACCCAGTCACCACTGCATCTGAGTTTCTCAGTTGGCAGCAAACACTCTTGTTCAGTTTTCCCAATGTAAATGTATTAGTTGAGTGGAAAGGAGAAACCAGCCCTAAAGACATACAGATGCTCCCCGATTTATGTAAGCATTCCGTTCCAGAATACCTTGCGTAACTTGAATTTTGCGTAAGTCAGAAATGTATACCCGACAATTACGACAAAAAAAAAAAGAAAGAAAGAAAACCTCCTATTTCTATCTTACAGAACTTTTTCCGTAAATGCAGATTTGCATAAGTCGGGTTTGTGTAATCCGGGGGGGGGGCATCTGTACCCTGCAGTTGGTTTCTACCTTAAATACCAAGGAAAATGCGAAAGGAAACTAGTTCCAATTACCTATTAAGTCTTGTACCAATCAATCCCCCACTCCCTGTAACAGTCAATTTTTTGCGGTATGTATCCTCTTTTATACATAATGGAATTATTTCACGCTGTGGCTATTTGGATGTATATTTAATTATATGTATTACTTAATTGGAATAGCTATATACATTTAGAACACTTGTAATCTTAAATGTATGGAAAACTTAAACATTACTTTAATTTACTTGAAGTTACTTTAATAGGAAACACATGGACCAATAAAATAAGGAAAATGAAGTACAAAACATTCCTTAATCCTAATCTTACTTTGAATTAGTGTTAAATTTGAATCTCAAAGCACAATTGGGCAATTACTACAATAGTGACAATTACTAATTACTGGAAGAACAAATTCCAAACATCATCAAAGTTTCCATTCTGAATAATATTGTTTACTAGGTTGTTCCATTCATTTATTAGTTCTTGAGTGATATGGGGGCGGAGAGGTCTTTCGTTTTCTTAAGTTTTCATTTCTGTCCCTTAGCAAAGCCTTAGGATTGTTCAGAATACTATGGTTTGGAGTATGTACACACGTCGTCCTAATAGCTCACATTTTTTTTAGTCCTGGGATCAACCTGCTTCTGTGTTTCAGGAATGGATATCTTACTCTCCTCACTCACAACCTTTTTCAGCTGTATATTCAACTGATTTGACTATATAAAGTAATAATATGTTGACCATTTACTAGTTCTACACACTGTCTAAATATTTTCAGTCTTCCATTTAAAGTCTTTTCTTCTTAGGTAAGTGCCATGACTTTTGTATATGTTTATTACTGTTCATCTGGCTAGTTTCACACAAGTGCAAATGTTTTAGCTTTAATTGCTGATATCTCCCTAATCATAACACTCTCTCAAAATGGTCATAAGAAAACGTTCACAGTTTTGCTTGCTAGGTAATTTATATTACTAAAACCCAAAGAAGTCCAAGTGCTAATTTTGGTTGGATTTTAATTTATACCCCCTTTTCAGAAAAAAAAAAGTTATGAACATGTTTGAGCCAATTTTAGAGTATAGAAACCTGATTGACATTGACACCAATAGCCTTGTCTACATTTGAGCATTTCTACATTAAATTATGTTTGATAGCTAGGGAACAGTGTAGTGGTAAAGTGAAGCACTGTTCATATACAAGTACAAATAATATAGCAATTGAAATGGAAAACAATTGAGAGCAAGTAACAATTAGTCTCAGCTTTTAGGCAGAAGTAGGTCATTTTAAATTTGCTGGATAGGTTTTGTAAATTATAATATTTGCAGTTTTAATCAACTCCCTAGGTTTCATTTGAAGATAGAAATTTGCTGCAAATAA